TGCAGATGCAATGGTCGCGCACCTCTTGTCGCGACTCGTTCGCGCTTGGTTGCCACGAGATTACGTGCACCACCGTGGTACCGCCCTTCCTGCCGAGCTACGAGTCAGTGATCACTGCAGCTGGCGGCTGCTCGGTTTCCACTTGGTAACGCGACTACGGTGCCGAGGCGGAAGAGTGACTTTATCCCTGGGGTCGGCGGCAGCTTGAGCGCCCACAGAGAGCCGACCGATGAGCCTTCCCTGCTTCTCGTCTGAGACGAACCTGCCTGCTGGTCCCGCAGAACATTGTCGGCAGCATAGAGTCAGGAAGTGTACTGCCGAAGGGATGGCTGGGCTATTGTGTGATCAACTGTGGAACGAAACTCATGAGCACGGTGACCAGGGAGAGGGAGAGAGAACACATAGTGCGGTAAGTCTTTCGTATGAAAAATAATGTAGATAATGTAATGTACTTGTGCGTTCTACTGTGATTGTGTGGATAAAGCTATACCCACATATGGCACGGTACGGAAAGTGCCTGCGGTTGTGAAGTTCATTCGGCACGGGTAAAGATGCAGCTTCATTCGGTGGAGACGGGCAGTGAACGGTAGCGGTCGTGCAAGGCCCATGCCGTGGGAAACCTAATATGGTTCTACGGGTGGAGATTCCACTCCTTCTGTGAAGATGAGCAGGAAGGGTGTGGCAACGACAATGGGACGGCGGGAGTCCATTAGCCGTCCAAGCCAATCACCTCATGAAGGTGACACCACTGACGCACGTCTCCCGACTCAGCGTTCAAGCCAGCATAAGCAAAGAGCTATGCGATTGGAAGTCGGAGACCTCATACCATAAGGTTCAAGTGATGCAGAACTTGCTTGTATTTTGCCATTTGCTCATATTTTGTCTTGATAACACTTACCCTACTTTTCAGGCCACATAACGGATGGAAGACCAGCAGCGACATCAGCATTGGAATCAAACACAACACCAGCTCATCATACATCTGCTTCAGACTGAAGGGACTCACATCGCAATGAGACACCCTTTATTTTTGTGATGAATGTGATAAACATGATGCATAGTGTGATTTCCCGCAGAAAGTGTTATCATAATCAACGCACTACTTTCCCATTGCCCACAATGGTGGGCGGTGGCTGCTCGAAAACGGCATATGTTGCCACTTGACAACATGGAACAATAGGGGAATCGTAATTAACAATGTTCACACATTGCTAGTTTTCCGTCAATTTGTTATGGGGTCCAGCACAAGTACTGACAATGAGCAGAGCAAAATACAGCGGACTTTTTGGAAATTTAACCTTACTTTTTCTATCTTCCATC